GAGATAAGTATGGCTTCTGTCCCTCATGTTTGCTCAATTTGTGTACCATACTACACTCGTCCCTCCCTGTTCTTGGACTTGGGAGTCTGCAGTCTGCAGTCATGCTCCTTTGTGTACGGCAAGTGGGGAGGAACAAAATGGTGTGTGTGCCTGAGGCACGTGTGCAGTGCCGCACACAGGAGCACACACCCATTTTATCCAATGAGCTTTGAATATTTGCAGTTTTTCTGATTCGTGGTGGTGGTGGTGGTGTCTGGAATGCATCCCCCATGAATCGCGAGGCATGACTGTAGTTGGGACTGGAGACACAAACAATATTCAGAAGACAAATGTCATAGGAGATCAGCAGGACTCAGGACTTCTTGAACTGTGTACAGTGGTAGCTTTTGGAATCTGAATTCCCATCAAATCTTCTTAAAATTTTCTCTTCCTGTCTTATTATAATGGGCAAGGGGATTAGTGTATTAGTTTGTTGCAGCAAGAATAACAAATGTGGCATCTTAAAAAACTAACCAATTTATTTGGTATAAGTTTTCATGGACTGCAGTCCATTTTATCTGATGAGATATGGGGCACTTGTCAGTGTTTAATGTGATTCAAGTCCCTGTTGTTTATACTACTACATTCATACACACCTTTTGCCTAAGAATCCACAACAGTTATTTAGTATATTATTTGAAATGTTGAAAAATATATATTATGTTCAGAGAGAAAAGTACTCTGCATCTTAGATATAGTAGAGGTCCTCATTTTGTTTGGAGGAAACTGAATTCTCAGGCAGACATAAGAACAGTCTGACTGGATCAGGCACAGGATCCCTCTATTCTAGTATCCTGTTTCTGTTCAGATATTTTCAAGAAGCACAAAAGCAATGCATGAAGTCAACAACCCTTCTTCTTATTTGTGGTGGCTGTGAAATTACACAAAAAGGTCTTGGCGTCTGCACAGAAGCCCTTACTGGAATATTTTATAGCTGAGTGATTTGGGGCGAGATTTGGGCCCATTCCTCACAGTGCATCCCTTAGTGCACCTCAGCCTCAGGCTTTTTTCTTTTTTCTTTTTTTGTCTGCCACACTACCAGCTTCTTCCTCTACTTTTTTTTTTTTTTTTTGCTCCTCATTGCCTTTTATTGGCAAGACATTCTTTTATAGGTTCTTTTTTTGGCAAGACATTCTTTTATTGTTTGGCTGCTGCCTTGCTTTAGAAAGAGAGAGAGAGAAAGATAAGAGAGAAGTCTACTTTTCTCCCTGAATCTTCTATTTTTTTCCACTGGAGATAATTTCTTCATTCCTCGTGTGAAGTACTCAAATGGCATAAAGGACTCTCAAATTATGCTCCTCTTTTGAATGGAATAGCCCCCTTTTCTTGAAGAACACTGGTCAAGAACATTTGAATACTTTTTTTTAAACCACAGACAATGTCTTCCATGCTGCAGACTCACCACACTACTTCAAAAGATGTCCCACACACCTTCTGATATGTCTAGGAGAAGTTGAAGTTAGAGACAACTCCCATAGAAGGGATGATTCCCTGGCTTTAGTCATATTACAGAGGGATTGGAAGTCATCCAGTGAGTGATATGTTGAGAATTATTGCTTCATCATTCTCCTTGATACTGAGCCCATCACTCTTCTCCTCACATTTAACATTATTTGGACTATTCCATGTTCAGTCTGCTCTGACCATAATGGTGATTTCTGGTATAAAAGAGAATATGAATAGAGATATCCTTTTTCCTGTATGTCCTCTCCATCACTTTATTGAAAGAGATCTCCTTTAAGGAGAGACTGTGAATATTCTCATTTCCATAGATGTGATCAAAGTCAAAGGATGTGTGTTCACAACTACAGCCTTAGTACCCCACCACCACCTGCTGGACATGTGGTTGACTGCTCTTTAAATGTCATGTCTGCATCTGTTGCCTTATGGCACCATGCGTAGATTTTTTCAGATCATTGATAGTATCATGTCAATGAAAAGTGTCAAATTTTGAAGTGCTGAATTCCAGGCCATCATGAAGTTCCTATTCCTGCAGAAGAAAAATCCAAAGGAAATCCATGAGTGTTACCATTGAGCGACCAGCGTCCATCATACTCAACTGTGAAGAATTGCTATGCCAACTTTCAGTGAGGAAATTTTGAGAGCAAAGACACGGCCAGATCTGAGAAGACTTCAACAGTGGCCACTCCTGAAATTGTTGAACTGATTTTGGTAGATTAGTGAATCTCAGCTAATCCAGTTGCTGAGACACTAGAGATACGCCAGGCATGCATTGGGTTTATAATTCATGAGCAGTAGGCTATGCAGATGCTGTCACCCAAGTGGTTGTTGAAATGTTTGAATACTGACCAGAAACAAAATCAAGTGGATACATCCCAGTTAATTTTGCAACATTTTGAGTGATCTAGTGATAATTTTTTGGAATGACTTGACCTTGTTGATTAAACATGCTTACATCACTATGATCTGGGGACCAAACAGTCCTTGCAGTGGGGGCACTTGGGTTTTCCACTGCTGAAGAAATTGAAGACTCAGAGGTCAACAGAAAAGGTCATGACCACAATTTTATGGGATAAGGAACATATTTTGATAACTGACTATCTTTAGAAGGATGAAACAGTTAATGCAGACTACTACTCTAACTTGCTGTGCCAATTAAAGGAGGCATTGAAAGAAAAATGGTGAAGAAAGCTGCAGAAAGATGTTCTATTTTTGCAGGACAGTGCCCTGTGAGCAGTCACTGGGCTGGCAAGACAATTGATGTTTTGAAGAATTTGGGGTTTGAGAGTATAGACCATTCACCCTACTCATCAGATCTTGCTCATTCTGACTATTTTCTGTTTCCAAACCTTTAAAAGAATTTGAAAGGAAGAAAATGTTCAAATGATTCAGAGGTGATAACAGAAACAGCATTATTTCAGTAACCAAACATCAGGAAATTTTTTTTGGAAGAGTTAAATAAATTTTAACAATGTGCCAAGTATATCAAACATCAGGGTGAATATATGGAATAGCATGCAAGTTTTATGGTTCTAGGTCATTCCCTTCTTGGTCAGGCTGAGAACTTTTTAGCACCCACTTCATTCCTTCAGAGTATATCTCTGCCTTAAACGATGTAGAGCGTCTATCCAGATGTGTCTACCTTAATCTCCCAGTATTGCTTATATGCTTGGCCTAGAGCTGATAATTCCTTTTGTCGCGCAGTCAAGAGAACAGCTTGCTTACCTGTAATCATGGATCTTTAAGTGATCATCTTGTACATCTTGTAAATTCACACAACCCACCTGCCTCTCCTCTTTTCATGTTTGCTATATTGTGGCAGGCATTGAACCTTAGGAGAGAGGCTGAGACATGTTGAAGTATGCATGATGAGGGGACGATGGGTGGAGTTTCTGCCAAAGAATACCCATCTATATAATGTTCCAAAAAGGGCTTCTGTGCTGGTGCGAAGACCCAATTGTGTGAATTTACAAATGGCCACTTAAAAAACCACAGCTACAGGTAAGCAACATACTCCTTTTACGGCATGACCAATCCATGTTCCTTGAATTTATCTAATCTCCTTTTAAAGCCAGCTAAGCTGTAATGTAACCTAAAATCACCCATCAGTCACCACATCCTTTCGTAGAGATTTTTGATTTTATAACCATAACTATAGTTGTGAAAGAGGAAGGAAAATGTGCTACAATTCTTTCTGTACACTGTTCATTATTTTATAAACTTCTATCATGTCATTGCTTTCTGTTTTCTTTTTTAAAAAAGCCTCTTAAGGCTTTAGTCATTACATATAAGGAATGTGTTTCAAACCCTTGATCACTTGGCTGATATTTTAAAATCACTATCAACATGATGGCAAACCTATGGCACATGTGCCAGCAATGCCACGTGAAGCCATTTTCCCCGGCACATGGAGAGAGGGGAAGAGGCATGCACCTCTTCCGCTTCCTTCCAGACTCTCCCTAGCCTTCACTGCCTCCAAGGGGGAGGGGGGGGGAAGAAGTCCTGCCCCCCGGAGGGCAGAAGTCCCACCCCCAGCACCAGGTAACAACCGGTGCTGGAAGCCTTTTAGTTTGGGTACTAGTTTCCTAGCTGCAGCACGATATGATATCATTTTAACTGAGCCATCCTGCACAACTCCAAAATATTTTTCTGGAGTTTTTTTTTCCACAATTCCATGCACAGTTATATGGATCCTGTGGAATTCTTTTCTGTATTACTGGTTCTGTGTTGCAGATTTACCATTGAGGTGAAGCTTTTAGCATCACGTCAGAGTAGTGGGAGGAGAAGGCATCACATCATCATCTGGAACATGTTTTCTTCTGAAGACTGATGTAATCTACCTTTTCCCCCCATCCCCTGTGTTTTAAAAAATATACCTATATAAAGCATTATGAGAAAGATACGTTAAAAAAGTGTTCCACAACCCATTCTAAAGTGGAGGCAGATTGTCCTGAGGATTGTGTTACTGTTTTGGGGAGGGGGGGTTCTCTGTCCAACAAGTACTGTACAGAATATCCAGATGCTTTCTGTTCTTAGTCCAAAGGTACAACTTGTACTGATTGGATTGTTTGCCAAAGATTAGGGTAAGGGAAAGATTTGATGTCTGTGTTTGTTCCTTACAGCATTACTATATCATTTACTGTATCTGTTTCTGCTCATCTAGGCTCTTCTTTGTTACCAACCATGTGTCCTTAATATAACTTCTTTAAAACTTCTTTTGTGTATGATACATATGTATAGATGGCTTTTAAGATAGTTCTCATAACTAAAAAAATATTACTGACAAGTAAGCAATAAATACCTGAAATAAATGAAAAAAAATTTTTTTTGGTTTTTTAGCTTTACAATTTGCCACAAGACAGAAGTTATAAAGAATACATTAAATCCAGTGTGGCAAGCATTCAAGATATCTGTCAGAGCACTTTGTAATGGAGATTATGACAGGTAAGAGATATTGAATTTTTGTCTATATAACTTTCTGTAAGCTGTAAAATCAGAGAGCCAGCATGGTGTAGTGGTTTGAGCATTGGACTATGACTCTGGAGAGCAAGGTTCAAATCCTTGCTTGGCCATGAAACTCCACTGAGTGACCTTGTTCAAATCATGCTCTCTCAGCCTCAAAAGCAATGGCAATGGCAATGGCAATGGCAACCCCCCTCTGAAGAAACATGGCAAGAAAATCCTGTGATAGAGTTGCCTTAGGATCATCCTAAATTGGAAACAACTCGATGTCACACAACAACAACCACCAACAAACTTGTAAAATCACATGAACAAAACATTTCTAAAATTTTAGGTCCTTCAGTTTAATCAAGTACAAGATACAATATTAGTACAAACTCTTAGTATTCAGCAGAGCCATGCCTCACAAAATTTTATTATTCACTACATCTTTAGCTTAGATAACAATTCTCTGTATGTTAGTTAGAAGTAAGTTTTTCAGTGTTGAAAGGACCTTACTTTTATATGAATATACATATGCTTCACAGATTGCTGATATCCAGATTAAAAGCTGGCAATCATCCCAAAATTCCTCTAACCTGTCCTTTTCAAAAATGCCCCAAAACAGCTCAGAACAGAAGGGGACCACTAAAAAAAGTGGTATCTTGGCTTTTCCCTACCAGAAACCTCTTCATATCCTTATAGCCTTTTTCTCAGGCAATAGCAATATGCTCTTGGTATGTTGCAATGTGCCAATGTGGCCTATGTCGCAAATAGGGGCCAAAATGGCCGCCCCAGCCACTATACACTTGCTCATCCTTTTTCTGTTAAAATGAATGGAAACTTACCTTCTGCACATTGATTCCTTGATTCGCTTCTCCACATTAGTAAACAAATTTGGGAGCTGGCAGACTGCTGATAGAGTTTCTGGTCCACCTGCCCCATGGCTTCTTCCCTCTTTAGCATCTTCAGTGCAAAATGACAGGCAACAGTATAAGAAACAGAATGCCAAATCAAGGCATTTTGTGTTGGGTTTTGTACTAGGTAAAGTAAGAAGAATTAGAATTTGCTCTTGTCAAAATGAATTACACACTTGCATTCTACAAAAGCTAAGGATTCCTGTCTCCTTTCTTTCATTTCATCGACAGAGGAAGTTGTTTGTCAAATTAGAGGGAGAGTGTAATCATAATAATAAACTAGGTGTCAAGATTTTTAATTATATAAATTATCCCCAATAAATAACCTTTAAGAGCCAATTAAACCCTGAGGCAAATTGCCTGGCTTCATTATCTTATTTCTTAATAACTGCTTAAAAATTGGTGTTGATGTGTTTAATTAGAAAGGACAATGCCAATAGGAAGAGCAACTCCTTCACCTAACTTTTTTCCCCTCAGATGGCAGCCCTATGGGTTTTACTATCCCACCACTGTCCCAAAATGTGATATTCCAGACCACTTTTATGAATATCTATGGGTTTACTCCCGAACTTTGTTTCTATATTTGTTAGTAGCAGGAATAATGATTCCTGGTTCAGACAAGTTGTATGAAAACAAAAATGTAACGTTATTTGTGTGATGTTTAACAATGTTTCATTTGTTATGAAATTGCATTCACTTCTTCTTGTTATACTTTGTTACACACTCTTTAACTCTAGAGAACACCAGATATTCTCATTTAGGACCCTCACACAGTCCTTATTTACTGTTATCCTTCTGACCTATTTCTATACTAGCCCTCAGGCTAACTATATCCAGCAGTATATCAAATACCAGCAACTCCCTCACTTGGAGTACTATACTCAAACTAAAAGTCTTTGCAGACTCCCAGAAATAGTGCAAACTGAGTCCACTTTAACTGCCCTGACTCAGTGCCAGGGAATCATGGGAACTGTAGTTTATTGTGGCACCAGAGCTCTCTGACAGAGAAGACTCAATGTTTCAGAAAAAAATACAATTCCCATGATTCCCTAGAACTGAGCCAGGGCAGTTAAAGTGGCCTCAATTTGCATTATTTCTAGCAGCCTGCAAAGGTCCTAAGTCCCTCACTACTGGATTTTCCTTCACAGTCCCTCACTACTGGATTGTTACACATCCAGACCCGATCTGACTCCAACTGTCAGCAACTGAATTTTTTATCACCAACAGCCCAAGATTCTGTTGGCTGCCGCCAGCTTATTCCTGATTGGCTGTTGCTAGCTGGGCATAATTCTGTCTGTTCTCCACAGACAGAAAGTACAATGCCAACATCAAGCATGTGGGATTTTTATTTATGATTTTTGGAATAATAATGTTATCTACAATCCAGGCAAGAACATTTTTTATCATTGTAATTAATGTATGCCGTGTAGTGGTTTGAGCGACTGGAGACCAGAATTCGAATCCCCAATGGGAACCCACTAGGTGACTTTTAACCCACATTCTTTCAGCCTCAGAGGAACAAAAAGGCAAACCCTCTCTGAAGAAATCTTGCAAAGAAAACCCTGTGGTAGTTTCACTACAGGGTCACCATAAGTTGGAAACAACTTGAAGGCATACAACAAAAACAATTAATGATACCTTAAGCAATATTGTTGGACACTTCTAGATGTAAATAAATAGCTGGCCTCCAAAAAATGGTTGAAATTTTATTTGAGAAAACTAAAAATCATTTGTTTCCATGGATATTACAAAAGATACCCCAGTTTAGAGAAAATGAAAAGTATACATTCTTGATCACATTCTAAGAATGGCGATCTCTGACATCAAACATACGGTACTCTTTCTTTTCTTGCAGTATTTTGGTAGTCTTACTAGTTTCCTTAACAAGCTATACAAAACTATATAAAGGGTGGAACTGTGGTCTTTTATATTTTCTTTGGAAAGTAAAAATATTTGACTCCTAAACAAGCTATTTAGTGATTAAATCAAGGCTAGAGAATGAGTAGAGCTCCAATAAATATACATTGAGAAACATTTCATGTGTGAATTTGGATTAATAGCATTGTCCATCACAGCTGGTATTCATTATCGCCATATACCAGGAAGGTAATCCTAAATATAAAATGTTGATATTTGGTTTGAAATACTTTCTACACCTTTGATACTTTAGCTCTTCTTAAAGTTCTTTATGATTTCATGTATCGCCTATAGCTAATATTTATTTCTCCATGAAATGCTAAGCATGCTGCTTTGGAGGCAGAATAATTTGGGATACAGTTGGTTTCTGAGATGTCTTCTTGGTGATTTATGTTCAGTAACTGTGACTCCAAATGATGGGTTACTATTAAAGAAATCTCTCTGGGCAAGGACATAGGTTCATTAGATTTGGGAATGAATGAAAAGTCAAAGCAGTATTTTAACAGTTAGTTACAGTGACTGATGACAGTTCAAAGATTCCTTCAGGAAACAAACGTTTCACTGTAAGCTTTTCTCAGGACTAGACTAGGTTGTAACCTCTGCTCACAAGATATGCAAAAGTGTCACTAGAATCTTAATGTATAACTTCATTATCATTAAAAGATAGATGTTATTATTAAGTTAGGTCTTGTCTTTACTCTAGCATGATGTAGTATTTTCCATCCTTTCTTAAATGTATAGTAATGGTTATTGGTGTATATTATCCATTCATGTCTGGGGACATGACTGTGGACTTTGCTGTGTTAAGAAGCTTCCTCAACCAACCAAAGTATATTTCTCTTACAGTAGAAATAATTATAGTAGAGCCCGTTAAATCATTTGGTTAGTTGCTATTTATGAAACATCATTCTTCTGGTTATGATGCACACCATTGCATCACTGGGAATTTACAACACGTATGTAAATTCCATTGATTCAGTGTATCTGATCTCATTGGGATTAACAATTGGATTTAGGTCCTTGTGTCTCCTTATCACAGCTGCTTGTCAATCATATGTGAAATGACAAGCTGTTTGAATAATTTCACCTACCTTCATACAATTTTGTCTATGTCTGGCAATTTGACTGAAGCATTATCTTTCATTACTTTTATGTTTGAGCTCAAAGCTTCCATAAACATATACACTCGTCCCTCCACATTTATGGCTTTGACTTTTGCAGATTTGATTATTCATGGATTGTATTAATATGTTCTCTCTAGGAATATCTAGGGACTCCAGCTCAACTCTATGGTCAACTTTAACCAAAAGTCTCATTGAAGGACCTAGTGAGAACACTCCGCTCGGCATTTGTAGTTCCTCCCGCACAATTCTATGGTCAATCTCTGGTAGATGTTGACCACAGAGTTGCACTGGAGGACCTAGAGATTTCTAGAGAGGTGTTATTTCAGGTAAAAACATAGTGTTTTTGTTATTTGTGGTTTCTCCACATTCATGGGGTTCCTGTGCCCCTAACCCCAGAAAATGTGGAAGGACATGTGTACTACCATTTCCTTACAGTACGAAAATGCTACAAATTCATACCAATATAATGCAGATCCTTTACTTTTTTTGTTTATGCAATATTCCCCTCTGCAGTTGTAGGCATGTGATAGTGTGATGACATATTCCCCCAATCAGTTTAGTCACACATATTCTGACCCTAGGTTCCTGGCACCTTATCTTGCCCTTTGACCTTTAAATCACCCTGGGATTTAATATTTCAGGGCCCTAAGATGGCTACAGCAATGGACCATTGGATGTGTCCCTTTGTGGATCCAGGTTTGTATGTAACCATTTCCTCAGGTTTTCCCTTCCAAATAGATTCCACTTAGACATAGGTTAAAATAAGAACAATAATCCCAACTTTATTGGACAAAAGATTGTTTCAGGCCTGAAAGAGACTGGCAGGAAAGAGTGGCTTTCAGCTGCTTTGAGGGTGGGGTATGCAGGAGATGCACACCCTCACAGTGGTCAGAAGCCATGTGGAAAGCACTCCAAGCTGGGAAAAGCTGGCACAGAAAGGTGCAGCAAAAAGCTGCTCCTGCTAGTGTCCTATTTAGGACCTCAGTGGCAGCCTGCTTTCAGAGTGGACCATTGCTGATCAGAGGCTGACTGGGGCTGGAACGACCAGAGACTGCTGCAAGCTGCTGGTCTGCTTCACCTCTTAGTATAATTATCAATAATATTAGCACAATACTTATTTCAGTGTTACTGTTCTCTACTGTGGTACTTGCACTTTGGAGCGCTTTCTTTTG